GACGACCCGCGAGTGCGACAGAGGCAGAACCGCCAGCCGGCAGCGACAGCTAAGCTAGCAACAGGCCGCCTTTTCACCGACTCAGCCCAAAGCGGGACCGCGCATGGCGGCATGGCCTGGCCGTGGCCGGGACACAGTGGGCCAAGACCGGCGCCGGCGGCCAAAACTCTAGACGCGTTTCGAGCTCCAGAGTCGCTAAATGGGACTCGAACCGAACGTGTGACCCCACCAATGGATTGCTCGTTCGGAGAGCAATTCATTGGTGGGGTCACACGTTCGGTTCGAGTCCCATTTAGCGACTCTGGAGCTCAAAACGCGTCTCGAGTTTAGTCCGACTCCACCGGTCTTCTGGCCCACTGTGCGGCGCCTCACTGCCCCATGCCGTCAGGCATGCCGTCAGCAGGTGCATTCGAAGGGAAGTCAAGCAATGCACCGTGCACACTGTACACTGCAAAAAAAGGCATTGAATGCTGTTCCAGCCTTTTCTGAAGTTTCACGTACAGGATCCACTAATTGGCATTTTCGGACAATCTACGTTTCATAAAAAAAAAACCCTTAAAAATGTTGAAATGGAAAAGCAATTATAGAAATGGATTTCTCTCGACGAGACGACCCAAAAATCTCAATAGATGTCGTGGGTTTCGCTAGAACTGCTCTGCATGGAAAAGTTAATGGCCGTCAACAGCGTTCAAAAACATCCGAAACGAGCTTTGGGCCTCACTACGCTGTTCGGAGCACGCGCCGAGAGAAACCTTTTCTTTTGATCAGTCCAACTTGGATTTCTTTTTGTGTTTCCCTTTTTGCTCTTTTTTCTGTGATGCGACCCCGATAGAGTTCGGACGGGACCCCTTCGGGACCCTTCGACTTTGCTTCGCGACGCTTGGCTTGGCTTTGCGCACCTACTCAGCAGTCCCAGCCCCGCACCGCGCAGAGGCGGATCCAGGGCCAGCCCACAGTGGGCCAGAAGACCGGTGGAGGCGGTCAAAATCCCGGACGCGTTTTGAGCTCCAGAGTCGCTAAACAGGGCTCGAACCGAACGTGTGACCCCACCAATGGATTGCTCTCCGAACGAGGAATCCATTGGTGGGGTCACACGTTCGGTTCGAGTCCCTCTTAGCGACTCTGGAGCTCAAAACGCGTCCGGGGTTTTGACCGCCTCCACCGGTCTTCTGGCCCACTGTGCACCGATGCGGTCGCGGCCACGGCCACGCGGATGCCACTGTGCGGCACGCCGATGTGATGCCTATCCGACGGCGCCACGAAGAGTCGTCCTTATCGTCGCTCTGTCTCTCTCGCACTCATGGGGCTCTCCGCATGAGTGTGCGAGAGAGACAGAGCGACGAACCGCTTTTCCTGAATTGCTCGGCTGCCTTGCTTGTTCTCGGCGACCTTCACTGCATTTACTCGCCAGTCGCTGCTACACTACGACGCGTCCTGCAACGACCAGAAGGGCCCGGCGTGCCACACAATCTCCTCTCTCTCTCTCTCTCTCTCTCTCCTCTCTCTCTCTCTCTCTCTCTCTCTCATATAGCGCCACACCACTGGCAGGTGGCGCAGAGGAAACAAGTCGCTATCAAACATCGTGGCGACCGGCCTCCAACGTTGCAAAAAAAGAAAAAAATTCTCCTTTTCTCTGGGTAAAAATAAAATTTTGAAGTAGGGGAAAGTTAAATGCCATGGTCAGGCAATAACGACAAAAAATAACTCTGATAACGAACACCAGACGAAAAGAACTGTTTCTCGTTTAAATACTCGCTCAAAGCAGTGGCAAGGTACGTCAAATTTTTCCAAAAGTCACACAATTAATTTTCGACATATTTTTTCCTCTTCCTGAAAACGCACGACGTCGGCTCTGACGGTGAGCTGCTGAACCAACAAAGTGCGGTTCTCGTAGACGTAGAAACCAACCGGCGCGATCCTTCTTGCGTTTGCATCAAGTGTGACTGCTGTGTGGCTGAGTATTACTCACTCACTTGCACTTGTAAATGAGAGAGAGAGAGAGAGAGAGAGAGAGAGAGAGAGAGAGAGAGAGAGAGAGAGAGAGAGAGAGAGAGAGAGAGAGAGAGAGAGAGAGAGTGTCATGCCGGCGCTAAGACAACAGCCGCCAAGGCTACGGCGCCACCGGTGTACCCTTCAGTGGCCGTCTAATTTTATCATTCCACATCGAGGGCCGCGTTGCAGGTGCGTGCCGAACGGGACATCTTCAATGACTCGAAAACAGAAGGCGTCGTCACGCATTGCCATTTAAACTGCGATACTTCGAAACCACTATAAAAAAAAATTGTCACCTCTTAATTGTGTGGATGTCATGGGATGTCATTTTCATCACTTTCGATTGATGACAATTGGACCACATATTGATGACATTTCCATAATAGCTCCTATACTTATTGCTTGGGCGCGACAACAGTGACATGAATTGTTTCGATGACATTCTTGTAATTAATTAGGAAGTAACTTAAGTAATTTGTTATTAGCCTTTAAATTGTGACCAAGATACAGTAAAACCAAAATTTCACAGTGAGGAATCATCGCTTTGCGAAACTGCATTTCCGATGAGGGAGGGACGAGTGCAGTTGGTGAGGCGGAAAGAAAACCGAATTGTGTCATGAGTCTTGCGCACGCGTTACACGCGTCGCAGCTGTGGGGCCCGCGTTCAAACAGAAACTGTTAGAAAATGCGAATTGGATCAGCGCGAATCGGTTTTTTTACTAAACTGTGGCAGGACCTTGGGCAGGACTAGGAAAAATCTAAAAAGTTTTTCTACCACACCCTAAAAAAAGTTTCTCAATTTTTCTTGCACAAATCTTGATTTTAGTTGATTCTTCAAAAAAGGGAAAAAATAAATAATTAAAAACCCAGTGCTAAGGTTTTTCTTTTGATTGATCCAGGAATCATGGGTTAAGGTTGCCGTTATCTAACGGCAGAAAATAAAAAAGCAAAACTCTAAAAAAAATGTCAAAGGTCTTTTTTTTTTTTGTGGGACATGCATCATTCTTATAATTCGGAACAATACGACGCTTGGATTTTGTACCATTGCCCTTGAAACGCGCCTCCCGCAGAAAAAAAAGAGCCATCAAAAACTAATCTGAAAACGAGCAGCAGCCACGCGAAAAACCGTTCGCGTTATTATCCAATGCTACATAATAGTACAATACAATGTGCGCCTTATCGAGGGACCCCGGGCGGAGCGGGCGGAGCGCCGGATTGGGTTGCAAAACGAATCAAACGACTCGCTGCTGATTTGGCGACAAAATGTGCGGTCTGTCTCTCTCGCACCCCGAGGGGCACGCCGGCGCGGCCCGCGAGTGCGAGAGAGACAGAGCGACAAACGCTGAGCTGCTGGGTAGGAAACAGGCAGACGCACTCGTGTTCATGCCTCGGGCCACCGCGCACCCAATGCTGGCCAAGGACGGCCTCGCGGCACATGTGCCCCTCATCTCTCACTCTCTCTCTCTCTCTCTCTCTCTCTCTCTCTCTCTCTCTCTCTCTCGCGGGGCGTTCCGCACACAGGTGCGAGAGAGACGGAGCGACAAAGCGCTTCAGCGGAATCAGCCTGCCTAGAGGATTGGGCTGATCGAGTCGAGGAGATTGAATGAGTGCTCGTCTGTTCGTTCCCGGATTCGCAGTGGGGCGGTTACTTCATTTTCGCCAACCGCAGCACACTGTTCCACTTTCGGTTGTCACTTGGAGAAAATTTGCTTGTCACTTGGTGAACATTTGGTCGTCACTTGGTGAAAATTTGGTCGTCACTGGGTGAAAATTTGGTTGTCACTTGGTGAAAATTTTGGTTGTCACTAGGTGAAAATTTGATTGTTACTAGGTGACAATTTCTAGGGTAGATTTTCTTACAAGAATGTTGCCAAAACAATTCGTGACATTGTTGTCACTGTCACGTCCATGCAAAAGAGCTTTTCATGAAAAAGTGACCAATTTGTGATTAAATTGTTATCGTCTAAAATGAAACTAACATCCACTATTTCAAAATAATGTGACAACAATTTTTATTTACAGTGAAGTCACTGCGAGGTACACATACCAGGTGGAACACTTCGGATGATGGACCTTAGAAGGAACTCGGGAAGGAAGTGCATTGTAAAATGTCTACCAGGTATCGACTTTGGGTGACCCGAAGAAAGTAAAGGCGTTGCCGGCGTTGCCAATTCTTACGAAGAGCCAATGCTGTGTAAGAGGAAATTTCTCCGGAGCACACATTTAATTGGTAAGCTCGCTCCCCGTGAGATGCGACACTCGCGCCCTTGCCGCCCTCAATTCCGAATCCGTCGTACAATCCGACATCCCACCGATAAGCGGCGACCCACAACTCGATACTAGTGTAGGCGCGAGATAGCGAAGATAGCGTCGATAAAAGTTAAATTCGCCCTCGCCGGTCCCCTGCACGAAATCATGCCATGCCACAGGTGCACTCAGCCCGTCCTCTTCCCTGCACTTGATTCGGCCCCCATTTCGCAGAGAGAGAGAGAGAGAGAGAGAGAGAGAGAGAGAGAGAGAGAGAGAGAGAGAGAGAGAGAGAGAGAGAGAGAGAGCTGGGTATCTCGGACTGGGCCAACGTCCCGCTGGTGGATGCGGGTTGCGGGTCGCGGTGCCTACACCATACGGGGCGATACGGCCGCGTTTCTTTTTTGCCCTTTTCGCCCGAAACTGCGCGTCCAACTCGGCGAACTCGGCATTGCCAACGCCGACCAGAAGAACGCAAACGAGCGCTAAAAAGTCTTGCCACCTTGGAATCCGAAGGGCTCTCCAAGGATTCCGCAGGGCCTATTGGGTTCATAGGCTCCGAAGGGTTCTATGGGGTTTAAAAAGATTCCATGGGTTGCAGGTTCCATAGAGGTTTCATAGATTCCAAACGGTTTTCACAAGAGTTTCATAGGTTTCAAACGGGTTTTAAGTTCTTTGACAGGTTTTATATGTTCTATTAAGGGTTGTATAGATGTTCAATAGGTTTTCCTGACGGTTGCTGTAGGAGTTTCATAGGTTCCAAACGGGTCACATAGGGTGTTTATGGATTCCAAACGCACTGTGAAAATTTGTTGTCACTTGATGACAATAACGTGGATGATATTTCCATCACTTACAAATTATGACAATCTCGTCACAAATTGATGCCTTTTTCATCAAAGCTCCTATACTTATTGCATGAGCGTGACAACAATGTCATCAATTGTTTTGATGACATTGTAGCAAGGAGACTTAGCCTTGAAATTGTCATCAAGTGACGACTCAAATTTTCTCAGTGCGGGTTCCATAGGTTCCACCGAGGGTTCCTCACGGGTTCCGCAGGGTTTATACAGGTCCCGCAGGTTCCAAACGGGTTCCTTAGGGGTTCCATAGGGGTTCCATAGGTGTGGGTTCCATACTGACCGTCCATGCGCGCCGACAGCGACAGCTCCGAGTCCGGGGTGGAGTCGGTGTCCTCGCCGAGGCTGCAGTACGAGTGCTCGGCCTTGATGGGGGTGGCGTGCATGCCGGCGGGGTGGCCGATGGAGGCCTCCGTCATGAGGCGGTCGTGCAGGATGACGCTGGGGGTGGCCTGCAGCAGCCCGCTCCAGTCCAGGTCGGCGTCGGCCGCCGTCTTGAACACGTCATTGATGGTCTGCAACAGCAACGCGTTCCCGTCAGAAAAAATGCAGAACAAATGGTATACCCAGAAAAATGGTTCCTCGATTTTTAATTTTCTTGGTTTTCAAAAGAAAAAAGTCTTGATACAAGAAAATTTCGGCATATACAAGAGAAATGTCTTCAAAATAAAGATTATTTTTTCTTGATCCAAGAAGGGATCCAAGGGAGATCTCCTGGGATTCTCAGGAATATAGGTTTTTCGAAACAAGGAGCAGATGGTTTTATCGTGAAGTAGAGAGGGCAACCAACTATGTTATTATCAAAGATATTACGGCACACGAGGTTCCCGAAGGGAACAGATTTTGTCGGATATCACCGGATTTTACGCTCACACTTTAAGCTGTTTTTCTTTTGACCTCTGTGAGGGACGATTTCGAATTCCAACGAATTTCAGGTGTGGACACAAATTTTTGCAAGCGTTTGCTCCCCAGCGACAAGTGGTCAAACTGGGTCAAATTTCGCCAAAGGTCGTGCAATTTTAGGCCGCTTTCCAAGTATTGTCGGCTTTTCTGTTCTTTCGAGGACGCAATTAGGAAGGTCACATTTGAAAAGAACTGACGCCAAGCAAAAGTGCGAACAGCTGACGTGCCTTTTCCTTCCTACACGTCCCCGGGTCACAAGTTGAAGCCAGCCAAGCGAAAGCGAGACCTAGTACACCATCAGTGCACCACGCGCTGCCCTTGCAGACGACAGACGTAGGCCACAACTTGTTACCAAGGCTGATTACACACAGGCCCTCGCGAGCAAAGAACAAAAAAAAGGGTAAAAAAATTAGATCAATAAAAAGAACCACGAAGGCTCCACCTGATGATACGGACCAAGGCCGTTGTAGGGCTTTTCCGCGTGCCTGCCGAGCTTGTACAGGAACGCAGGATCTTCACAGTAAGCCGGAAGACCGGAAGAGACGGTCAAAATCCCGGATGCATTTTGAGCTCCAGAGTCGCTAAATGGGACTCGAACCGAACGTGTGACCCCACCAATGGATTGCTCTCCGAACAAGGAATCGATTGGTGGGGTCACACGTTCGGCGCGAGTCCCATTTAGCGACTCTGGAGCTCAAAACGCGTCTAGAGTTCTGGCCGCCTGCGCCGGTCTACTGGCCCACTGTGAGCTTGCCCGGTGCGAAAGCCGAAAGCCCGGCCAGAAAGCGCTTTCGCGGCACCGCGACTCGGCAGTGGCGGAGCCCTTTTCGGCCGGCAGGAAGTTGATAAAGGCGAACCGGAACCCAACAGCCCCTCCCCTCCCCGCGGCGCACCTACACGCCCAGAAACGACAGTCACGGCCGTCGCCAAAAAAGCAACAACAACAAAAACTATCACAGGTAAGCCATTTTCCGGAGCGCTTTGGTCGTGCAACCTATCCCACTACTGCCAGCCCGCCAGCCCAGACTGATTCCGAGAGTCGTTTTCGTCGCTCTGTCTCTCTCGCACTTATGAGAGACGACCCATGAGTGCGAGAAAGACAGAGTGACCCTCTGTCTGCACACTGGTGAAACAAAGGCATAAAAATTATGCCCTTTAAGGGCGTAAACGATTTACGCCCTTAAAGGGCATAAATCGTTAATGCCTTTGGGAAGGGCATTAAAATTTTGCTTGAAATTCCTATACCATTTACGCCCTTCCCAAGGGCATAAAACGATTTATGCCCCTGGAAGGGCGTAAAAGAGTATTTATGCCCTTAAGGGCGTAATTTTTATGCCTTTGTTTTACCAGTGCAGGGCGGCGAGGAATTTCGTTGTTGCGCAGTTTTGGCGCCCCCCTCCCCACTCTACCTTCGCGGGATTTCTCCCCCCCTCTTATTTTTTTCCTGCCCGCGAAAAGAGTTGAGTGACCGCGAACCCCCCTTCCCCCCTCCCCTCTTCCCGGGGGGCACTCCCACCTTGCTTTTGTCGGGACCGCACCGCTTCGCGAACCTCCGCGGCCCGTAGGCCGACTCCGAGAAGGCGTCGCTCTGTCTCTCTCGCACCCACACGGGCCGCCCCACGAGTGCGAGAGAGAGAGAGAGAGAGAGAGAGAGAGAGAGAGAGAGAGAGAGAGGCCCGCCGGTCCACCAAACTGCGCCAAACTCCTCCGCGAATCCCGAACTCCCCGCGAGCCTACTTCGCGTTTGCTATTCGCGGCGTCGGTACGAGTCACGTGGGTTGCCCACACCCTGTCTCTCTCGCACTCATGAAGAGAGAGAGAGAGAGAGAGAGAGAGAGAGAGAGAGAGAGAGAGAGAGAGAGAGAGAGAGAGAGAGGGTGAGTGAGACCACAACTGCACAGGATTTCCTCGGCAGCAGACTGATCCTGAACAACAATGTTTTTCGCTCTGTCTCACTCGTGGTTGTACGGAAAGCTCTGTGAGAGAGAGAGAAAGAGAGAGAGAAAGAGAGAGAGAGAGAGAGAGAGACCTTTCTCCCCGTCCACTCCTGAAGGGCCCCGCAGCATTCCAGGCACTAGAGCCTAGCGAGTCGTAAATACAAGAAAGTCTAATCGGTGTCGTCCAGCAAAGAAACAACGCCAATTTCATTTTTTCCAGACCCGGTTGTTATCATTTACTACAAAGTTTCATGGACCATTTCTCTTCCCGCCCGTGCGAGACGCGGCGAGACTTCGTCCTCAGAGACGCCACAGACCCAGCACCAAAGAGGCAACCGCACAGTGGGCCCGAAAATCGAGTCAGGCGGTCAAAATCCCGGACGCGTTTCGAGGTCCAGAGTCGCGAAATCTTCGACCATCAAAGACAAACCAAATCCATCTCCTGGTGTTTTCCGTCGAGAGAAGAATCGTTACGGATTCTGCCGTTCATTGCAATTTACTTTGCAGAAGACAGCACAGTATTTAATGGTTTTCAGGAATTTTCCGTAAATATTTGCAATGAAAATTCATATCATTTTTAACGGTGTATGCTGGTTACACGAGCGGAGTGTCACGGACAGCCGCGCAGCACACTGTTAATGTCTTACGGTGAAAGGCTGCACCAACCAACATATTATGGTGGGAATTTTTTCCATACGAATACCAACAAAATTCGTCAAAATATCTGCAAGGTACAGTGAATTCTCAATGGTATGTTACGAGGTCAGCTGCACCACCATAATATGGAACATTATGGAGAATCTTCACTGTAGAACATTTAGAGTGCAATAACATAATCGGACAATATCGGTCAGCAAAAGAAGCCACATCGGTCCGTCTGTTCGTCCGTGTGGATGCAGGTGAGGAGGACGAACACACACACACACACGCACATACATACACACACAGAGGCGGGCATGGACCGTGGCTCTCCAAGTTCAAGGCGAACCAACCGAGCCCGGCATGCAGCAAGGCGAGGGGCGTACGTGTGTTCATTATCTCTCTCTCTCTCTCTCTCTCTCTCTCTCTCTCTCTCTCCCTCTCTCTCTCCGGGAAGAGGGGAGGGAGGGGTCCCAGAGAGTAGCTAGCGTGTTTTGGTGTTGATTTTCCTGCCCCGAGACGCCACAGCACCACTAGCGCGTGCAAGTCTCCAGACAGGAGTCTCCGCAAATTACAGAAAAAAAAAACAAAATAAAAACAAACAAAAAAACAACAATAACAATTGTTTTTTACAATTTCATTAAAAAAAATTAAAAAAATTTAAAGCATGAAGAATTTTAATTTTTGCGCATGACACTCGTTCGTTACGAAACCAGCAGGTGTTACACGTTCAAATCTCCCCACCCCCCAAAAAAATAATAACAATTTTTTTTACCATAAAACAATAAAGTAAATTTTAAATTGATGGTCTCAGACAGCGGTCCGCATGCATGCCGGTGGTGGGCCGAGCGGTGCAACACGGACACGCACGCGAGCGCGTCAGTCACGGCACGCGGAGAGAGAGAGAGAGAGAGAGAGAGAGAGAGAGAGAGAGAGAGAGAGAGAGAGAGAGAGAGAGAGAGAGAGAGAGAGAGAGAGAGGAAGGGAGCCGAGTTAATTTGGCTAATGAAGCCACTTCTTCAATTTGATTTGAATCTCCCGCGCCACCGCGCACCGCCAGCAAGGTGCGTGAGTGTGCGTCTGTGTGAGTGCGTTTTCGCATGTGTGAGCGGGTGCATTCACCACCGCCTCGACCACCGCCCATTTGGGAACACATTATGCGTTTCAGATCCATACTCGGCGGCTTCGGAAACGGCAAACGGCATGGGAGCGTGCGAGCGCGGGTACACTGCGAATCGAAAGAAGAAGAAAGATGCACCATTTAACCACTGGCCCCATTCATTCGCACTACAATGGAAAATAAATCAGGATGAAGCGGCAAAAAATGTTACCGTTAGTGAGCTTACAAGTACAGCTACACATCACTGTTAAAAAAAATTACTGAAAATTCATAATTTTTTGTAAGAAGTCGATTTACTTACATTCAGTCTGAATTTTCATACCAAAACTCTCATACTTTGAGGTCTTAAAATTTCAGACAACGTTAGTCTGAATTTTCAGATTAACGTGTTGTATGAAAAATGATACCAGTCGGTCTTACTTATCAGACTCAGTTGTACGAAAAACAGAAACAATCTCACTAAAAATTACTACTCATAAGAGTGGAGCACTTATCGGCTATTTCCAACAGTTTCATCAGCCGTTCAGCAGAAGAACTCGAGTCAAAAATTAGTTAATCAGTGCAAATAGTATCTCGCAGATGTCTTGCAGTGGAGAGAGGTGACTGATAAAACTCCCGGGAGAGCGGCCTCAGCCCAACCACGCGTCGACCCGCGGTCATGCGCGAGAGAGAAGTTTCATTCTCTATTATTTAGCTAAGATTGCACTTACAAACATCAATCTTGCTTTGGTGCGCTCATGCCCTCTCAGACAATTACTTGGAATAAGTTTTTAACAAAATGTTCACCCCCTTTCGGTTTCAAGAGGCAATTTTAGCTTCAACAGATCAACCATGCGACACTAGCGCCACCTAGCGGATGGAGAAAAAAGTATCCATTTCGGAGCTCTGAAACATTCTATTTGCTCTAACGACACTA